GCCCTCCCCAAAACAAACACAGATTTGAACCCTGGCCCCACGCGGCATGACTCACCAGAATAATGAGAAGTCAGGCCTCTCAGGTATGTATGTCATTCTGAGACCACCCTTCGAGAGGAGGCCCTGAGTTCACACAGCCAAGGTCTCTGACTGCAATCCTGGTAATTAGATGCTAATACTGGGTTGAAGGGATAAAAAGCCACCTCAGCTCACCCACCAACAGACTAAAGATGGGGGGAAGGATTCTTGAGAAGAAGAGAGAGACTTAATGAAAATCCAGGAAGCTCGCAAACAGACACCATAAGGTTGACAAACACAGCAGAATGACAGCGGGGAGTGTGGAACCAGTGCCACTCTTGGAGTAAAATCCCTGGACCTCATTACTTATGATTAGAATGCTATTCCATGAGTTAGCATTAGCTTGATTTTAGCTTTTAATAGTGCCCACTCCAGCAGTCACCTAAGTGTCTGATTTGTCGATGTCCTTGTTCCAAGAAGGCACTGTTTCCACACCCAAGTAGGTGGAGGGGACAGGTTCCCTACAGGGTGCAAATGTGTGTCTCCCTCGTGACAAAAGGGCGTACATTCCAATGAGAAGAGTGCGTGTGTGACAGAGCAGTGTCCACCCAGAACTGATCACTCCTCCTCTTTGCCCTGGAATAGCCAAAGCGGATTCATTTTCCCCCTCAGGAAAGATACTAATGCATGGTGTGGAAAAAGGAACAAGAAACCAGATCAATGAAATCTGTCCTACTAAGCTCACTCTGAGTTCTTAACTAGAAAAGTCTAGTGTGAAGAACTTTTGAGATGTTTTGTTAGTCAGTGGCTTAGTCAGAAATACGGTGTTCAAGATGGAATTCAATCCACGCCTTTATTAAACTTTCCAGAATATTAGAATTTACCCATTCAACAGTCCTAAATTTCAGGACTTTACATTTGCAAATGAGTTCACAAAGAGAATGGGGAGCTTGAAAGCTGGTGTATGGTGGGTGGCTCCAGAGCCTACCAACCTTTGGTATTTGGCATCGAGTTGTTCTTAAACTTATTATTAAAGTCCACTTGGCAGTACATAATTTTAGCAGTGTCTGATCTGATTTTATCCCTGAAATTAACAACAGTGTGATTCAAGATGATTTGAAAGTTGTGTGTGTGCAAGTTGTAGTGGGTGGTGAGGAAGCAGCAGGGGTGGGATACATATATTCTTGAAAGGATTGAAACATACACATCTTCCTTGTGCTGAAGCACGCGAGAAAGTGCTGCTTCAGTTTTCATCCGTTCGGTCACAGCAGTCTCCATGAGGGCTGAGCTTGCTTTCAGAGAGCTTTGAAACGAAGCCAAAAATAACTTCTCCTGATTGTCTAACAAAACTCTGGCTAAGTAGATGCAAGGCCTGCCAAGACAGTCTAGTTTTCTCAAACTATTGCTTCGAATGGGGTTCCTAGGATGATGGTTAGTTTACATGGTCAGCTGTTAACTGAAAGCTTGTTGGTTCAAGTCCATGCAGAGGCACCTTGGAAGACAGGTCTTACCATCTATTTTTCCCCAAACCACCCATTAAAAAGCTTATGAAGCAGAGTTTTACTTTGGCACCAATGGGGTTACTGAGACTTGGAAAGGATTCGATGGCAACTAGTTGGTTTACTGCTTCTGACAGAACCTGAGCTCCTCTGGTTTACACCAGGGTCTTTCCCTGGCTTTGAACACTAACTCCACACCTACAATGCTGCTCTTTGGTCACAAGAGCAACAGGAATGAAGGTCAACATGGCGGAGACCAGGCCCTGTGGACTGGACTGGATTTGAAGAGCCTCTCCAGACAGCACTGAGCCCATCGAAAGGACAGAAGTGTGCTGGTTTTGTTCATTGATCATTGCAGCTCTTCTGCCAATAATTCAAATACACTAAAATGCCTGGAAGAGTTACTTGACTTAGAGGGAAATAAGTAAAGCTCACCTTTTAGGATCTACAATCTTGTAGAGTTTTCCATTGTGGGTCTGGGTCATACTTTTACTACTTGATAAAACGTAAACTTCACCTGTGGAAGAGATAAATGTGTTAACTCATAGCATCACGAGGGCTTATTTCCTATTGCTTAGTATGTATAAAATTACTCCCCAAAAAGGCATGTTGAATTCTGCTAAGCCTGTGAAGGTGACCCTGGGGTGGGGTGGGGGGCAGGCTTGATTTTGTAATGTCAATGAGGTCATGCTAGAGGGTTCTAAACCTAATCTCTCCTGAGTGGTGTCTTATTGTAAAAATAGGAAAGAAAGTAAAAGGAAGAAAGACAGATTGGGGAGAAGCCGTGTGAGATGGAGCAACTGCAGTGCTAAGCCCAGGAGCACCAAAGGTTGTTGGCAGCTATGCAAATCCTGGAGGAGACAAAAGAAAAAGAACTTCCGCGAGAGGGCACTCTCATTTGGACTTTTAGTTTTCTGAACTGTGAGAAAATACATTTCTGTTCTTTAAAGCCACCAAATTGTGACTCTCTAAAAGGAAGTAAGAATTGTGATTCTCTAAAAGTAAGGTCGTAAGTCAAAGCTCACTTCATTTCTTCCAAAGCTTCCAGTAGCTTCTCGTCTTTGTCAGAGGGAAAGTATGTCTTGACAGTGGCCTCCGAGATCTACCTTGAACTGCTGTGACCTCACTTTAGTAACTTCTCTCCCCCGTTTACGCTTCTCAAATCTCACTGGCCTGTATGCTTTGAAAACAGGTCATTTTTTCCTTCTTCCTGTCTGTTTTCAAATGTCAATCTCCCTGACTGTCCCATTTAAAATTGCACCTTTCTCAATATGCCAGCCAGCTCTATTCCACTTTACTCCTCTATTTTTCTTCAAAGCACCATGTTACATACATATTTTAAAAACATGATTATTTTCTTCCATTCAAATATAAACTCCAGGTGGGAAGTTCAGATTTTTGTCTCTTTATCTACTGCTTTGTTCCCTATCATGTTGAGCAGTCTTCTATACAGCAATATTCAGCAAATAAATTACAATATGAATTGGCTTTTTTAAATGACTGATTTCTGCCCATAATTGAATAGTTTCAGTTAATTTTTAAAAAACTGTTTGTTGAAAATTTAAGGCCCACAAGAATGAGATACTCCTTTTTAATCTGTATTTTTTTCCTAATGAATAATATTGAAATTAATATTGGAGAAAAAAGAGAGAGAAAGAAAATCTCAATTCTAAATGCTTAGCGGTAGGCTATGCGTTCGGGATGATCACTGTATAAGAGGTAGGGTGCCCTATCAATGGAACAACCACTTTTATTTATTATCAAGGTTTTCATATACTTCAGTGGATACACCTAATCAGATGAATAGAGAATTAGAAGCTGCATTTATGATTACTTACTTATGTACTTTAAGAATCCTTATCTTAGCCTGCATTTCTCTGTTCTGCTCTATGACTATATATTAGGTACACCTTCCTTTTCTGCCACTAACCAGGAGATGCTATGGGGTTTTCATTAAAAGACAAAAAGCAAAAACAGATAAAACAGAAAAAAGTGAAGTTAAAGAGAAAGAAATGCAAGCTGCAGAACTAGTATTTGTTTTGTCAAGTATCTTACGTAGTTCATATCATTTAAGCCTCACAATGAATCTGCCCTAATTAAAAAAGTCGGCCCGAACACAGTTACAACTAACAAAATTCAAACAAATACATAATACGTTTGTTTCGAGAGGTGCATGTCTCCGGATGGGCATGGAGCTGTGGGTCTGTTCCTCACCACAATTCCCCTGGCCCTCGGGAGTTGGAGGAGGTAGTGGTGCTGATCAAGTATTGCCTGAGCAGGGACCCTGCTGCTTTTTTATCTGCTGTCTCCTACTACCTGCCCAGAGAGAGGACCGCATTCATACTCCACCCACCCTGGCCTTTTGTTCCCTGTAGTTCCCTTCCCTCTGTCCCCTTTTCCACCTCTCTGCACTGACCTCCTCAGAGGTTTCAGGCCATCTCCCAGCCTCACCCTACCCACCCACAACCTCAAGTGATCCCACGGTTGCCCTGTGCTCACTGTGGCTCGGCCGAGATGCCATGGACAAAAGGGTGAAGGCATCCTGTAATGGTTGGCTACCATATCTTGTGTGGGCCCTTTAGCCACCTCGGGACCTTTGATATAGATATCATTTGGGGTGCCCCATGCAAGCTTAGATCATTGGTGACACCACCGGAGAAGTTTTTCAACATTGTCATAAATAAATGCAAAATGTTGGATAACCGGCTAGTCAACAAATGAGGAACAGGTCTAGCTTGTACAATACCTAATTCATCCTCTCCAAATCCCAAGATGTGACCCGACAGGTAGCCTCTGCAGGACCCACTGTTGCCAAGGCAGAGTGGTTTCTCTTGCCATTGCTTGGTCACTGGACTCTGCTGGAGAGTTAAGAAATTCCTACAATAAAAGCATACCATGAGCGTACATGAGACCATGCTTTTGCTTAAAAATACATAATAAAAAAACCCCTTTAAAATGAAATTCATGTTTAATCACGTCTGTGCTACAGATGTCATTTCTAGGGGGTGGAAATAAAATAGTTCATAAAGTGTGTGAATACTGAAATTTCTAGGTAGAGAAAAAGTCCTTAAAAGATAATACTTTGGTTGGAAGTGGGGTGAGGGGATACTAAAAGTACCTGACTATGAGAAAAGCCCCCCCCTTCATCCAGGGAATGAGTCTTCTGATCCAGGACTAGATTCCAACCTGTGCTATTAATCAGAGTGGGATGTTCCAACCTTTGCTATTAATCAGAGAGCAGGCAGTTGGTCAGTACACTCTTTCAGTTCTTGTTACCAACCAAGAATACCAGCTGTGTGGTATGCCTGACTGCCAGCACCTAGGGAAACAAGATTCTCATGTGGGCCTTAACACAGATTTTCCAAGAGGCTAACATTGAAACTCTGTCACACTCCTTCCTACTGGAACACACTCAGTTTGGTTGTCCAAAATCCTGGACATTTGGCAAAAGTAAAAATGTCTGCCTTCTAAGATGAAGTTTTAAAATAATTATTCAACTTTCGTAAAGCAGTAGCTTTCAGTGTACTCACTTCCCTCATTTAAGGATGAAGGGGGCAACTTGAATGTTATGAAAAAAATTCCTTGGAAGACTTTTCAGTCCTTAAAAATGATTTCATTTACATCTTGAAGCCTTTTGTAAAGAGTATCTTTGGTGATTCTTCATTTAAAATACCATAGAGAGCAGACTAAAAATAAAGAGTATTATTTATACATGTCCCAGATCCGACTCCCCATGGGAGACAATCATTGAATATTTTATGGCAACTTGGCAATGAATCAATAGAAATGCTATTTGGTCTGTCATGCTGTGATATCAGGGAACATACCCATTACGGTCTCCAAACACATAGCTTCCATACAGTCTTTCAGACTGGCAACCTCGGTAAACAAATCCACCAACCAGAGGACCATTACTGAATGGCTTGAATTCTAAGAGTGATGGTTCACTTTCTAAAAGGAACAAATACAGTATTATATCAAATGCAATGCATTTACATAAAATAAAAGCACAGACCAACTAACACTATTTATTACTTATGTATTTTGACTCTGAATTGCATTCAATTGCAGGAGGCAGAATGCTGCTATAGAATTCTAGTGAAAATAACCTCTCACTTTGCTTAAGTAGTATTAGAAGGAAAAGTTCCTTCAGGCACAACTTCATGCACAGGTTCCCAAAGCTATTTCATCTATCACTTCCTTTTCAGAAAAAGAAAATGATCCAGTGCCCCCATGGCAAGCAACGGCTTTTGTACGATAGCCCATAATCCAGGATAAAGTGTGGGTATCTGCTTTTGCAGCCCTCTTAGATCATTCCCATATCCCCCTGGGAGCAGTTTGGGAAACACCAGCTTAATGTAATGAGACTGCTCTGCAAAGGTTTGCTGTTATATTGTTGCCAAGACATTTCCAAGTTTTCAATGAAACTAAAACAGAACATTGACATTCTGGAGACTATAGGTATTTGTTTTTAAACAAATATTTTAAACCAGTGGTTCTCAACCTGTGGGTTGCGACCTCTTTGGAGTTGAATGACCCTTTCACAGGGGTCACCTAAGACTGTTAGAAAACACATATTTCCGATGGTCTTAGGAACCAAGAACCAAGACGGACCTCTATCCGTCTCCAGGCAGGTCCGCCCACATGCAGATAGGCCCACATGCCCAGAACCCGGCGTGAAGATTGTTTCCCATGCTACACCATGCCTCAAGATAAAAGTTAATTTATTTGTAATTAGAAATAAATATTTCACAATATATAATTGCATATTGTTTTGTGATTAATCACTGTGCTTTAATCATGTTCAATTTGTAACAATGAAAATACTTCCTGCATATCAGATATTTACATTACGATTGATAACAGTAGCAAAATTGCAGTTATGAAGTAACAATGAAACTAATTTTATGGTTGGGGAGCACCACAACATGAGGACCTGTATTAACTGCATCAGGAAGTTTGAGAACCACTGCTTTAAACACATACTGATTTTTTTGAAATTTTGCATTTTTAAAATAGAAATTCCTGTAGATATGTTTAATAAACCATGATAGAGCTCTCAAGTAATAGAAATGGTTTAAAAGTTCATAATTTAATGAAAATAAAACATAGTACATAAAATATCTTTAAGATCAATTAATCGCAAATTTATAAATATAGTTAGTAAAAGGATCAGCATTTAAAATATTTTAATAGTTTTGTTCTGTGAAAATTAAATGCTTAATAAAGTACTTCAGTGATCCCCTTTGAACTACATGTATACAGTCATGTATCTCAATCATTCCATGCAAGTCATCATATACTTGAATACATGCACACTAATTGCAGTGGAAAAGACCTAAAGCCAGTTGTAAATTGATCTGAAACTTGCTTCTTGTGTATTTTAATACCAAATAAGGCACTATCAATAGTCAGTACTTTAGGTAGATGGGTCATTGTAAGTTCCTCTTCTCACATGATTATGATGAATAAGGGATGAAAAATTTTAAACGTAAGAGAAGTTTTAAATGACCAGTACTCTCAGAGGCAACATAATCGAATGCTTCTGCGTACAGACTTTGGAGTGGGACTGCTCAGGTTCAAATCTAACCCCGATGTTTGTTTTGGGTGATGCTTAATTTTTCTAAGCCTCAGGTTTCTTCATCTGTACAATGTGGCTAGTAAATATTCATATCACATAGGGTAGGGACACTTGAAATGGGTACAGTTTATAAAGTTCTTACTGTAGGGCCTGGCATGTAATAAGCACCTTGGACCTGTTTGTTACACATGTAAGTTCTGAGTTATCAACATGGTAGTGAATTTCAGCTCTTTATTCAATCCATACACAAAACTAAACCAAAGCCAAACTTGCTATCAGTCAGCTGATTCTGATTCAAAGTGTCTTTAGAGAAAGAGAATTGTTCAGCAGGGTTTGTAAGGCTGTATATGTTGATGGAAATAAGACCAGCACATCTCATGAACCTTAGGTTAGGAGCTTAAAAACTCTGACATCAACTCTTCAATTGTTGTTGATGGGTGCTATCCAATTGGCTCCAACTCATAGCAATCCCATACACAGCAGAACCTGGTTCTGCACATTCTCACAATCGTCAGGCTTAATCCATTGTTGTAGCCACTGTGTCAGTCCATCTCACTGAGCATCTTCGTTATTGCTGAGCCTTTACTTTGGCAGGCATGCTGTCCTTTTCTAGGGACTGGCTTCTCCGGATAACATTTGCTAAGTATGCGAGATACAGTCTCCCCATTCTTCCTTCCAAGGTGCAACCTAGCTGTACTTCTTTCCAAGATAGATGTATTCATTCTTAGCCACAATATAATCCAAATGTACCAATTCTTCTCCTGTCTTTCTTAATCACTGTACAGCTTTCGCATGTGTATAAAGCAATTGAAAATTCCATGCCTTGTTTGGTCAAGTGCACCCCAGTCTTCAAAGTGATGTTGGCTCTTCAACATTTTAAAGAGGCTGTACAGCACATGGGCCCACTCAATTCATCATCTGATTCTTGAGTTTTATTCCTTCCATAAGTGTTGATTGTGGATCCACATAAAAGAAAATTGCTGCAAATTTTGATCTTTTCTCCATTTATCATGTTTTTTTCAATTGATCCATTGGCAAATATTTTTGTTTGCTTTACTGAGTTTTAAACAATACTGAAGTTGGGGGGATGGGGAAGCAACTACAATGATCGACATATAACACCCACCTCCGCCCCAGGGGGACGAACAACAGAAACGTGGGCAAAGTGAGACAGCAGTTATTATAAGATATGAAAATAATACTAATTTATCAAGGGTGCATAAGCGTGGGAGGGAGGGAAAACCGAGGAGCTGATATCAAGGGCTGAAGCAGAAACAAAATGTTTTGAAAATGATGATGGCAACATATGTACAATTGATGTAAGAGCCCCCAATTAAGTGATTTAGTAATTTTAAAAGCTATACCGTATGTACTCGAGGATAAGCTAAGTTTTTTCAGTTCATTTTTAATGTAGTCTTTGTGGTAAAATTAGGTGTGTCGGCAGATATTTGGGTCGGCTTATACTCAAATATATACGGGATATAATTTTTGATCATCAGTAAGGGCTTCAAGTTTTCTTCTTTACTTTCAGTAAAGCAAAGAGACATTTGTCTATTGCAGGTTGTTAATGAACTTTCATCCAATCCTAACACTGTATTTTTATTCCTATAATTCTACTTCTCGGATTATTTACTCAGCATAAAGTATAGTGAAAGGATGAACTCTGATACACAGATTTTCTCATTTTCAAACAGACTCTGCTCAAGGACTTGTCCCTGGGTCTACGTACAGGTTCCACATGACCACACTAAGTGTTCTTGAATTTCCATTCTTTGCAATATTATCTATAGTGTGCTCCAGCTTGCATTGGTCAGCTCCCTGGTGCTGTGCTGCTGCAATCACTTTTGAATTATCGTTAGCAACCTTTCATTTGTTACTAATCTGTTACTAATGAGATGGTTCTGTGATCTCAGCATTGTGTTGGGTCTTCTTTCTTTGGGATGGCAGTTCCAAAGGGCTCTCCTAGTCAGGTGGTCACCGGTAAAATGAGCGCTTCCAGGGTTTCATCAGCTTATTGAAATATTTCAATGAATAATCCATCAATTGCCGAAACCTTGCTTTTCACTAATGGTATCAGTATAGCTTTGACTTCTTCAGACAAACCTTGGTTCTTAATCACATGCTACCTCATAAAATGGTTAATGTTGATTGATTCTCTTTGGTACAATGACTCTGCATATTCCTTCCATATCCCTTTGATGCTTCTGGCATCATTCAGTATTTTGTTCATAGAATGCTTCAATAGAATGAACTTGGGACTTGAGCTTTTTCTTCAGTTCTTTCAACTGAATATGCTGAGCATGTTCTTCCCTCTGGTTTCCTAACTCTCGGTCTTTGCACATTTTGTTACAATTCCTTACTTTGTTGTCTGGAGCTGACCTTTTGAAATTTTCTGTTCAGCTCTTTTATTTCATCATTTCTTCTGGTTGCTTCAGCTACTTTAGCTACTTCAAGAGTAAGTTTCAGATTATCTTCTGCCATCCACTTTGGTCTTCTTTTTCTTCCTTATATTTGCCGTGAACTATGCAATGATCTTGATATCATCCCACAACTCATATCGTCTTCTCTCATTACTTTTTTTTCAATTTTAAATACAGAGCTTTATTTTAAGACATGACACTTTCCACTTAAAATACAGTACTTATAACGTACAATATTGACATTTTCCCCAAATGTACATATTCCATATCCAAGTATTGAGTATGCACAGAAATTTAATGTAGCAGCTTCACTCTTAAAAGTGCTCATCAATGTGTTATAAATGTGGGTCACTCATGTTTTTACTATGGAACAATGTTACATTTCTACTCTCACATATTGACTTATTCAACTTCTACAATGGTGGGTCCAGCAGAGGCACTACCAGACGGAGGAGCTCCACTACCAGGGAAGCCCCCCTGACTTACCTCCACACCTGTCTCCAGCACTCTGGAACAGCGTAAGTAATGATGGGGCTGCACACGTTCTCTAGCTCTTTCTGCTTAGGTTCACATTCTTCTTTCTCTGCTGTCTGATTCTTACCAAGCCAGTTGATAATTCCGTTATACTAGTCAAGAACCTTCTGTTTGTCTTCACCATTGATCTTGGCTTGAAGCTTTTCCCTTATAGCTGTTGCTTTCATGTTAAATTTGTAAGATTCAAGTGAATTCTTTTTTTTTTTTTTTAAACATTTTATTAGGGGCTCATACAACTGTTATCCCAATCCATACACACATCAATTGTGTAAAGCGTATTTGTACATCATTTCTCAAAACATTTTCTCTCCATTTAAACCCCCGACATTAGGTCCTCATTTTTCCCCTCCCTCCCCGCTCCCCCCTCCCACATGAACCCTTGATAGTTTATAAATTGGTATTTTGTCATATCTTGCCCTGTCCAACGTCTCCCTTCATCCACTTTTCGGTTGTCTGTCCCCCAGGGAGGAGGTCACACACAGTTCCATGTAATCGGTTCCCTCTTTCCTACCCATTCTCCCTTTACCCTCCTTGTTTTGCCACTCACACCACTGGTCCTATAGGGCTCATCCATCCTGGATTCCCTGTATTTTCAGTTCCTATCTGTACCAGTGTACCTCCTCTGGTCTAGCCAGTCTTGCAAGATCGAATTCGAGTCATGGTAGTGGGAGCGGGGAGGAAACCTTTAGGAACTAGAGGAAGGTTGTATTTCTCATCATTGTTACATCGCATCGCACCCTGACTGGCTCATCTCCTCCCCGAGACCCCTCTGCAAGGGGATCTCCAGTGGCCTACTAATGGGCTTTGGATCTCCACTCCACACTCCCCACATCATTCACTATGGTAAGATTTTTTGTTCTGATGATGCCTTACACCTGATCCCTTCGACACCTCGTGGTTGCATAGGCTGGTGTGCTTTTTCCATGTGGGCTTTGTTGCTTCTGAGCTTGATGGCCGCTTGATTACCTTCAAGCCTTTAAGACCCCAGACGCTATACTTTTTGATAGCCGGGCACCATCAGCTTTCTTCGCCACATTTGCTTATGCACCCATTTGTCTTCAGTGATCCGTTCGACACCCCGTGATCACACAGGTTGATATGTTGTTCCATGTGGGCTTTGTTGCTTCTGAGCTAGATGGCCGCTTGTTTACCTTCAAGTGAATTCTTAAAGGACACCTTATCTTGCTGCTTCTCATTTTCAACTTTGTACTTCTGAACTTTCTGGACCACGTTCAGTGGCTACTCAAGTGGCCCTTAGTTATTCCATTGCCTCCCTCTTTCCATCCAAATAAAACACAATGGCCTTTAAGTCAATTACAGGGTTTCCGTGGCTATAAGTCTGTACAGAAGCAGGTAGCCTCATTTCTCTCCACTGGAGCAGTTGGCTGGTTTCAAGAATCAACCTTGCATGTAGAAGTCCAATGCTTAACCAATACTATAGTTTGAATTTTGTGTATTCTAGCTGGTGAACTTCATGTGTACAGTTGAATGTATGTTTCCGAAACAGGTATTTGTAATGAAGAAATTATACATCTTACAAAATTCAATTCTGTGACCTCCAGCTTCATTTCTGTCACTAAGTCCATACTTCCCAATTATTAATTCTTGCTTTTAGTTTCCAACTTTCTCATTGCAGTTACCAATAATTACCAAGGCCTTTCAATGGAATGTTTGATAGATTTCAGATTGATGAGTTCTAGAATTCTTCAGTTTCCTCATCATTGGCTTTTCTCATTAGTGGTTGGTAAACAAACTTGAATAATAGCTGTCTACATGTCCCTTTGTAGATGCACAGATATACCTCTATCACATACAGCGTTGTACTTTAAGATAGATCTTGAAATGTTCTTTTGATGTTGAATGTGATACGATTCCTCTTGACATTGCCATCCAGGCACAGCAAACCAAGGACTGTTTGATTATAAATGGTCAACAACAGTCCATTTCGGCTCCTTAGTTCTTTGGAGGACATCAGTCTCTATGTGCTCCATTTCATTTCTCATGACTTCAAATTTTCTTCCATGCAGGCTTCCTGCATTCCACGTTAAAATTATTAATGTATGTTCGCCGTTGTTTCTTCTCATTTTGAGCCATGCCTCAATAGCAAACGAGGGACTCAAACGCTTTGCTCCGTCTAGGTTTTTAAGGTCAACTCTATTTTGAGTAAGCAGCTCCCCCCCACCCTAGTTATATTTTGAGTGCTTTCTAACCTGAGAGGCTCATCTCCTGAAAATATACCAGACAGTGCTCCACTACTGTTCAAAGGGTTTTCTTCCTAGTCTGTTCTTATTCTGAAGCCCTACTGAAACCTGTCCCCCTTGGGTGATCCTTCCAGTATTTGAAGGATGACTGGTTACATAGCTTTCAGCATTACAGCAACACACATTCACCGCAGTATGACAAACTAATGAATGATGAGTGTGGATTCCATTCATAAGAAAGTGAATAGACCAGATGGAAACTCTAGGGTAATTGGGCCTCCGAAAAGTGAGCAATGTACTCCCTGCTCATTGTTACATCGGTGTACTTATGTTTCCCCAAAAGTTCCTTTTGCCAAAAACCTTTCCTCTTCAAGTAGCAGTTACATAAAACAAAACTCAAAGCAAAATCATCAGATTAAGCTCTACTTACCATAATCTTTGCCCTTCACGATCTGTAGGATTCTGGCTGAGGATCTATTTTTTCCATTGGAGTCCGAACAAAGTATTGTCAAGTTGATGTTGATATCTGTGGGATGACGATCCACGGCACATCTACATAACAAAAGAGGGAGGTCTTCATTTGTCTGTCTGTTTTAAACAACACGATTCCTACCAGGGCATTTTCCAAGCTCAGTTTGGAGAATCCTGAACAGAAATCCTTTGTGGGTTGGCGACAATCTTAAGAACTATTCAGTTTGGATTCTCTAGAAAGCACTGAAAGAAACATCTGATGTGTTTACTTTGTTGAAATTGAATGATCTCTGGAGACTATTTCTTAACTTCTCTTGGTATCTTCCTCCACCATGAATGTGCACGCTGACTTAAAACATTTGCAAGCATGTCCTTAAGGAATACTCATTGGGAAAGTATTTTGGATAGGAATCAGTGTCATCACCAACTCACATCTGCAGTACACAATATAATTAGTTTTTGAATACATGTCTTGAGTTTCATATACAGAATTAAGATACTTGAAAAGAAAGCATGCATTTCATTCAGAGTATAAAATCAATCTGGTGACTGCAACCACTGATGGTTTTGTAGGTTCATTTTGTATTCGTGTGGACTGCTAGTAAATCTGAGCCCCCAAATCTCTCTTTAAGCTGAAGACACTGATTTTAACATTCAACTTCTTTGGCACTGGATTCCTGTTCTAAAGCCTATATTAGGGGCTCACTAGCTAAGCGACTAGGTATGGGGGTGTTTGAATTAGGAGAAGAATAAGGTTGAAAGTGGCAGTGTTGGAAGTTTATACAAAAGTGGACAACTGGCTTGCCTTTACTTTTTGGTGTCTCGATATCATTGACACTTTTGGGTCACGTCAGACCTGGTTAACAGGGCCCCCTGTGACAGAGTGGAAGTGCCACACTGGGTTTTCATGGCTGTCATCTTTACAGGAGCCCATTGGCAGGTCTGACCAAATGGCTTGTGGGTGTTAACCACCAGCCTTATGGTTGGCAGGTAAGTACTTAACCACTGTGCCGACAGGAATTGTGGTGCCACTTTAGCCAAATCACCACTCTCACTGATGAGTCAACTCAGACTCACAGTGACTAATGCAATAGAGTACAATTGCCCCAGAGGGCTTCTGAGCCTGTCAACTGCCACAGTTCTCTCCCAAGGGCTGACAGTGGGCCAGCAACCAGCAGCTGAGTGCTTACTCAGAACATTTTGAACCGATTAATTCTTTGCCTGGGGGGCCTGCTCTGCACATTTCAAGATGTTCAGAAGCATCCTGGGCTTCCAGATGATGCCAATAGATAATAACTGTCCCTAAATGCCACAGCCAAAAATGTCTCCAGACACTGCCATATGGTCCCATGGGTCCAAAATCACCTCATTGAGGATCACTATTTTAGGCCAATGAAATACATTACTTACAAGCAAACAAAATTTAACCACCAGGGTTATAAATATATATTTTAAGGGAAAATAGGTTGTGGGCGTCTTATCCCAATCAAGCAATAACTCTTGGCTCCAAATGATCCCACTCAGCATGGGGAAGTATAAGCCTGACCTAACTGGAAGATGGGTTCCTTGTTCAGTGGCAACAGTGACTTTATTGTTTTCTCTAATTCAATTATTCACAGAATACAATGCCTGGCAGGGACCCTGGCACAGACATGCTGTGCCTTAAGGTGGAACGAACTCCAAGATAGGGTAGGAACTTATCTTTTGAATTAACTTTCTTTTGAAGATAGGAAAACTATGACTAAAGGAGGGTTGACCTTTTTCCTGTAAGGAGACATCGCTAATCTAGAATAGAAAGGCCGTGAGCGCTAGCTTGTATTCAATGCCCACTGAGTGGGTCCATTGAGAACTATGCGACCCCTTTAACCTTCAGTTTCGTATGTATAAAAGGCATCTAATACCAGTTACTTCAGTACAGCTGCAGACCCTAAATGAGATAATATGTGCGAAACTCAGAATCAAGGTGCTTAATTAAAGTTAGCTCTACTTTCAGCCAATCATTATTTCAGTTCCCTTTCTGCTTTATTAAATCTCTCTCAACTGAAAATATTCTTGGAGGGAGGTGGAGTAATAACCATGCTCCCCCTCCTGCCCTGAGCACTCACAGGAGGTAAGACTTCATGGCAGAGGCAACCTGCCACACGTACGGTCTGAAACGGGCTTACGTGTTTGGACGGAAGGTTCTAGACACCCAGGGAGTTTTCTCGAAAGCCCCAGTGGGCTTACGGTGACTCAGGCTGCTTGACTTCCAAGTGCTGTTTGTGGTGGTATCTGTGAGCTCTGAGCTATATGAATGGAATGTGACAGTTTCCTCCACATCCTGAACTCACCTTAAGTATTCCCTGTCGCCCAGATTTTAAGATCGGCTGAGATGCCAAAGAGGAAATGAACTGTAGACTTGGACTTTGATGGAGGGGAGATGAAGGGCATGAGGGATTATAAAAACAAAAAGTTGGAGAAATACTCACCTTACACATAGTGAACACTCAATAAACATTAAATAGCAATAATAACTTAGCTAGTAAATGAATCAATGTGGCCAGATGCTCCTTAGAATCAATAGTAGGCCATGGACAGGATGAAGTATTCATCATGGAATTTCTGCACTATGCCTCACGATATTTTGCAAATGTACCAAATACTGTTCACACACTTCTTAGTTTTCCTTTCTTTATGGTTAATTACAGCATAGCCAAACAGTCAGCATACATTCTTTTAGTGCTTATAATTTTTTTTCAAGAAAAAGATGAACATTTAGCCCCACTCTTTTGGCACATTGGTATCGCACCAGGATGGAGCTACGATGACGGGAAATGGAACTGACTTCACACCTACCAGGTGTCAGGCGTCAGATTTTCTACTTTAGTGACATATTTTTATTTCATCATGACCACCTGAAAGGTAGTTATAAAATATAAATATATATATATTTATATAAAATATAAGGAAATACTATATTTCTCATATAAAATCAGAGGAAATTGTGATATGGAGGGATTTCAGGAGACAAATCAAGAGGTCTATTATCTCTTTCATTGATTCAGCTTGAAGGGCTACTCATTACATTGAGCTAACAAACCGAGTTCCTCTGCTAATGCTGCTAACCACTCATGGCGACCATGCCCAAACTCTGTCACCCCCAGAGCAGTTTTGATCCATAGAACTTTCCCTGGATGACTTTTTGAAAGCAGATCACTTGGCCTTTTTCAAGTTCAAAAAACTCAAACTCACTGCCCTCGAGTTGATGCCACTCAGAGCAAACCTTTAGGATGGGGTGGAACTGCCCCTCTGGTTTTCTAAGACAGTAACTCTTCACAAGGGGAGAAAGCACTATCTTCTTCCTTCATTGTGGCTGGCGGTTTTGAACTTTGGACCTTGTGGTTAGCAGCCCAACGTGTAACCACTGCGCCGCCAGAGAGCACCTTTCCTTTTTACCTTAGTCCATCTTAATTTTCAAGCTTCGCTGAAGCCTCTTCGGCCTCACGGCGGCAGAGCAGCCTCCATGGACAGATGAATGGGAGCTGAGCACGCGGTGCATGCATCAGAGAGAAAATGTAGGCCTCCTGCATACAAGGTGAAAATTCTACCACCGACTACCGCCACCCCCATGATCTAAACACCTCTCAAGACAATTAATTTTAAGGAGAATTTCTTTTCCTCCATGGATTCGTCCCTTTTTGGTACAATTTGCGTTCTTCATCTGGTCCACATGTTCATGAAAGGGTGCCCAGTACTCACTTGGACAGTAAGCTGGTGTGACTGTAGAAGTGCTACCCAACCTGGGAGCCCCCTCTTGCCTGCTTGATGGTCCAGAGACCCTCTTTCTTTTCCTGCTTCCTGAATCCCGGTCTGACCGCCATGCTCCTCACCTGCCTGGATCGTGGAGCCCATGGGCAAACACCTCCGGGGGCTGGTTGGTGCTATTGAAGTGCGGGTTGCTCCTTGGGATGGAATAAGGCACATGACACATGTCGGTGTTCACATCTAGCCGCAGCACTGAACCTGTGAAATCGCTGGGAAATTGGGGGACAACATAAGTGCTTTTTATTCTGTTCAGTATTGAACCTACATGAAATCCGGCAAGGTTGTTCCCCAGTAAAAGAATCACTCCCTACTGGAGACCAAACTCTCATTGTGGGAAACGGGTTCTAGCCATGTGGCAGCACCAAGACACAGCCTTTTGTGGCTACACATGGTGGAGTAAAGAGATACTGCCTTCTGCCTCTTCTTTACTTTTTTTTTGTTGTTGTTGATAACTCATGTATTTTGCAAGCCCAAGCAGCTTTGCTGGACCTGCTCAGCAAGCAGGTCAGGTAACACGGATACACATGGCTGCCAAACAGCAGCTGCGGCTGCGCAGAATCCTGAGGTGGTGCTTCTGAGCGTCGGGAGCCAGTGGAAGGGCCCCCACAGCCCAGTGCAAGTGGACAGTGGCTCCCGTACAATGTCCCTGAGCGAAGACTTGAAAACAATCATGCCATTGTATGTTCACGTTAAAAAGTTCTAGCCCACAAATTTAAAATGCGTACTTTACAACCATACATTTCTGTTTTCCGGAAGCATCTCCAATTTGTAAGTGACAACAAAGTTAAGTCTCTTAAGGCAGTGAGCTTCAAAGGCAGTTTCTAACTTGCTGGCTCAGACCCTCTTTCCTGCCACTTCCAACATGTTAAGCTGGGAGGCTGTGCTTGTTGCCGTCTTTTACCTTAAGCCGTCCATCTCTTCCATATCATCTAATGTGATCATCCCATCTCCAAGAATGATGTACAAGAAGCCATCAGGGCCAAACAGCAGCTGTCCCCCCAGGTGCTTTCGGTGAAGCTCTGCGACTTCCAGAAACACTCGAGCTGTTCTCAAATCAACCTGATGTGGGTTCTTCCTACACGGGGGTAAGGAACAACACCGTGATTGCTAAACATGTGGGGTGAGCCCACGAGAGAGGACCGCGCTATAGAGCGAACCTCTGACACAGAGCGCGCGATGGAACAAAAGGAAGAGGCTGCTACAGATGACTGAAAATGCCCGCAGTAAAGCCCCCACGACAGGAGGAAAGCCGTCAGAAGGAGAGCATAAGCATTTGCCATGAGAATGAGTGGTAGGAACGTGGCAGGGCTACCCCCTTTCAGTGGTGGAAAACTTGCGAGACTCGGAAAACAAGTCCCATCGAGCTCCAGCTCCACTGTAGACTGTTTGTCATGTTTTGCACAGAAGTTGAAATTTGAGAAAAGTGCCAAAGCACCATCATTTCCCTCTATTTTCCCTTAAGACACATGTGGGGCTTTAAACATAGAGATTATAGTTGACTTCTGCCACTTTATGTCTAGTTATTTCTAACCTCTCTAAAAAAGGACAAGATGAGATGATCAGGTTAAGCAAACGATGTGTGTGATACCTGGATACTGTGTACTCCACAACTCTGAGAATGTGGTCATGAGGGCCGATAGCCCACCGTTCTTGGTTGGTGGTATAAGACACATACAGCTTTCCATTTTTCTTGTAATTGGGATGGAATGCAAGGCTTAGCAGTCCTCTTTCATCTCCTCCCTGCAGTCAAATGAAAAACACAAAGAATTGTGAAGTTAATTATGTTCCTTATTGTGTTTCAACGGGAACCCCAAAAGAGTCTCTTTCTTTCTTCTGGATAATCTTTGCCCAAACTCTTTTCTTTTCTTCCGCGCCTACTGCACAAAAAGGGATTATAAAACATTTCACTCTGTGGAACTCTTTAAGGGTTAGAACAAGCCAATTGTCTTATCGATGCCCAAGACTCCTACCCCACTTTTGTCAAGTGATTTGTGTGGGTAACCTGGGGAGGCTTCGGAGACAAGTTTAAGTGCTGTGGAGAATTCTTTCCTGGGTTACTAGGGTTGCTTGTAGTTCATCGACGACAAATAAAAAGGTTCATAATCAGCAGTCACTTCTAATCCAAGTATCCCAAACCTAAAACACAGTGTGGGCTGCCAACTCCCACTGTCTTGGCAATATGTTTAGAAAACAGTTAAATTGCTTGTGTAATATGTAAACCTTTGTTTTACCCTGGAGGCGTCCCCACCAGTTGTCACAACGAGGGTGGTCCCTTCCCCATAGCCAGGCAATAAGCAGCCTGGGCCCATCGAAACAGACAGAAATAAGCTTGGTTTCCCTCCCACCCCTGTTCTTCTTTTTAAACATATATCCCTTCCCGGCACTGGGGTTTTTCTTACAGGGATGGAGAAGTAGAACGGAGTTCAAAACCTGGCCTGGGAGAAAATGCTAGGGAGGAAAGGGGACACTGGGAAATAAAGAAAGAATCCCAAACAATCTTCTTTGTTATTCTATAAATGTCAAGGATTGTATACATTAGGCATGCCAAATGCCGTAACAATTAAAACATCATCATGTTCTTAAATAAAAAGGCATTTTATCTTTATTTTCTGCTTGCAGTGCCAGGAAATTCAATATGGCCTTAGCATTTTGTTGCATCCCAGACGTAGCCTAGGCATTTCTACAATGAAATCAGAGTCTCTGAAATTATCGGCAGCGGTGGAGACCTAACGTTTCCTAGCTCTACCAAGGTGGGGAGTGTGACGGAGAAGGTGAACATGGCAACTGTGGCTCAACTACCTTATCAAGGTTATTTCAGTAAACATCACCCTACTACCCCCTTTGGCAAAAGGCTTTCTGACTTGTTAGAGGAGGAAAGAAAAGTATCCACAATGACTACAGCCTCTTCATCTTGGCTCTCTGGCTTGGGAGCGCTCTAAAGCTGCTGTCCGGAGCACGTGCGCGGCTGGAGTTCAATCTGGAGTAGGTGTTCTACATAGCCTTCCTGTCGATTTGGGTATTGAAAAGTTTTAGGCCTCAGAATTCACTTTTAGTAAACATCACCTGATTAATTTCCTGGGTAGAGAAAATGATTTTGATACACACCACTGACAGGGGAAACATTCGCACTTTAAGGATTGTGTCAGTAACAAAGGAGATGCAGATTCCAGAATTGCCCAACCATCTGTCAAAGGTAGAAACCGTCAACCTCTTCACCAATATGCTGAACTTTGATTTTAATGGGAAAATGAATCTGATGGAAGACTAAAGACGATGGTTTATGAATGAGCCTCTGGTTTGGGGGGGATTATTGTGATGATGGTTTTAATATGGGCTTGCTGTTTTTTCTTCTTACATCACCACTAAATAAACAGCCCTTGGCTTTCTTACGAGATGTTGGAAGCTGGAATGTGTAACTTAAGATTGGATTGTGGAGAGGCCACTGCACATTTAAACTTCCTTGACGAATTTTAAGAAGTGGCCTAGGCATGAGATCTTTTCTTTTTTAAGATATTTTATTTTTATTTTTTAATCGTTTTATTAGGGGCTCCTACAACTCTTATCACAATCTGTACATACAACAATTGTGTAAAGCACATTTGTACATTTGTTGCCATCATCATTCTCAATACATTTGCTCTCCACCTAAGCCCCTGGCATCAGCTCCTCATTTTTTCCCCTCCCTCCCCGCTCCACCCTCCCTCATGAACCCTTGATAAATTAAAAATTATTGTTTTGTCATGCTTGCCCTGTCCGACGTCTCCCTTCACCCACTTTTCTGTTGTCCGTCCCCCAGGGAGGAGGTCACATGTAGATCCTTGTAATCAGTTCCCCTTTTCTAACCCACCCTCCCTCTCCCCTCCCAGTATTGCCAATCACACCACTGGTCCTGAAGGGATCATCTGTCCTGGATTCCCTGTGTTTCCACTTCCTATCTGTACCAGTGTGCACCCTCTGGTCTAGCCAGATTTGTAAGGTAGAATTGGAATCATGATAGTGGGGGAGGAGGAAGCATTTAGGAACTAGAGGAAAGTTACATGTTTCATCGTTGCTACATCACACCCGGACTAGCCCGTCTCCTCCACGAGACCCTGCTGTAAGGGGATGTCCAGTGGCCAAAAATGGGCTTTGGGTCTCCAGTCCGCACTCCCTCCCTCATTCACTATGATAAGATTTTTTGTTCTGATGATGCCTGATAGCTGATCCCTTCGGCACCTCGTGATTGCACAGATTGGTGCGCTTCTTCCATGTGGGCTTTGTTGCTTCTGAGCTAGATGGCTGCTTGTTTACCTTCAAGCCTTTAAGATCCCACCATCAGCTTTCTTCGCCACATTTGCTTATTCACCCACTTTTTCTTCAGTGGTTGTGTTGGGAAGGTGAGCATCATAGAATGCCAATTTA